ACAACCAGTACAACTACACTAAAATGTTGCTAGCATCCTCCTTTTAAAGATTAGAGTCCAATGTGCTACTCGGGCTATAGGTTGAAAGCTAATGATACAATATTCCCACGAAGTAAATAACAAGCAAAAATGAATTTTCTTCTCAATTTTTAAAAAGATGAGTGTGGAATTTATTTATTTAAAGGAAAAAAAAAAACTAATTACCTTTTGTTTTGGTGAATGACTTTCACTTCTTGCAATTGTGCAGGTTTGTGTAGTGATAACAAGAAAGATAATCTGAGTTATGAAAATTGATTCCGTGCAGAACCTCATTTTTGAAGCTCATAAGTTGTAAGTGTTTGGTTTTTTAATTTGTCATGTCATGTAATCAATTGTGTATTTAAGGCTATATTAAGGTTAAGTCCATTGAATGTGGTGTTATAAAGAATTAATGTTATTTGACTATGGCATCTAATATGGAATTGCACAATGGCTAAGGCTAGGGAGAATAAAAAGTCTCAATTTGCCAATTGAGTTTTACTAGGGGTTTATCCTATGGTAGAGACTATTACGTAACTGAAATTAGGTAATAGTTCGATAGCACACTGAACCAATGGGAATCATGAAACAAACTGTGACAATTAGAGAAAATATCAATTCGATGTCGTGACCCTCACACTCAAAGTCCTTAACGGATAAATAGCTAAATTCGAGAGTTTGCGACAGCCATGATTGCTGATAGAACGTTGGTATCCTCGGAGACTTGAAGGCTTCGCTGGACCTATCATTTGTCTTTACTCGTCTATGACATCCATTAATAGGATATCATAATAAATGTTTTCCTAAAAATGGCCCAACTTAAGGAGCACAAGATATTAATGAGTGATGGGTAAAGAAGTTCGATCAACCCAAGTCACCTTAAAAGGTCGAGGGTGTGGTTTTGGTTTGAAATCGAACTTGGCCATGGCGGAGTTGGAAACAACATTGGTGGTTCTACCTCATCAATTACCAACTTGGAAGAGCAAGAATTCCACAGGATACATGTATGGAAGACAATCTGTTTCCGTGAGATAGAATCAATGGGGATGAAGAGGATACATCTCATAACTGAGACGATAATTGCGTCCTCATCATAACTCACAAATTGGTTAAGATCTTCATTAAAATCTTCAATAGGGTCGATCATGAAACAGTAGTTGTTTCCCAGAGTTGAATAAGGAGGTTCTTGATTAAAAGCTTGCGCAAGGGTGCGATGTGGATAATAAGAGGCAAAATCCGAAGTGTATGGTCTCAAAAGCTAAAAATCTAGGTTCAACTCTAGTGGCATCTTCAGGAATATTACGACTAGAGGAATACCCAACAAGCATTAGGTCCAGGCCGACACAGGCCACTACTAGGAATGGTGGTCAGAGGAGACAGAACTGACGAAGGGTGGGAAAGTTAGAAAGGCCATGCTGCTAATAGGAAGATCGATAGTATCACTCGTATTCAAGGGCATTGTATAAATCATCTTTTAAGAAGTTAGGGCTGAACACAATGACTTGATGTTTGAGGTTAGATCTTAAATCGTTGAGAAACCTAGTAACAATGACATCTTCGTGTTCAGCATGGCTAAAAAAAATATGTTTCCCTCATCAACTTCAGCACGTGCATCATATTCCTTCATTTTAAAGTGTGATAAGGGGGAGAAATCCCCAATAGGCATGTCATTGTCATCAATTTTGGGATCTCCGATCTCATATTGTCGTTGTGCTATTGTTTCCTTTATATCCCTGTTAATGAAACAAAATAAAAAATAAAAAATAAGTAAATCAACTTTAAAAGAAAAAATGAAAACAAAGACAAAAATTTAAATCAAAGCTAGAATTAATAAAAAATGCTAAACTATATAAATTAATCCACTTAAATGCTGTCAAAAACTTGATTGATTGATTTCACAAGTGCGGATCATGATTAGTAATAAAGTGGAATTTTTAAGTTTGAACATCGTTACCACATGGACCAGATATCAATTTTTATTTTGATTCTAACTTCAATCTAATTTAATGTGGTAAAAAGTTAACAAATTAATGGGTAAAAACTTAACAAATCAAGATTTAATTATAGCTACTTTATCTTAAACTAATCTAGCTTAACCTAACTAACCTAATTTGTGGAGGACTATTGAGATTAAGTGGTTAGGAATTTCAATTTTTTTACGTTATTCATGTTTGAGCTCCATTTTTTTTAGAAATATTGTATTTTGGAATAATGTTTTGGTAGAGAATATGTGGTTAAAAAAATAAGGAAAAATTTTGAATGCATATAATATTGTTTTATTAAAGAATGAATGGTTGAAAAGAATAGAGAAAAAATGTATTTTCAAAAAAAGGGGAAACAAAAAAGTCCTTATTTCCTTAACATTCATTAAATCCAATTTCATTCATCATTTTCTTCATTTGCATTAATAGTCGACTTAACCAATTTTACTTAGTATTCTCTCACAAGGAAAATCAACCCTATTCATATGCTCGAATTTACTATATTTCTATGTAAATTAGTACACATGTAAAAGAATTCAATTTTAGAAATTCTATAAGATTGCATAGCCTATAATCGAGATAATAATCCAAAAGGTTTTCACGGAGTCGCTAAACTTTAAAAATCACTCAAATCATTATTAAACTTTACAAAAGGTTTCCACAGGGTCACTGAACATGGAAACTTTTTGCAAAATTTAGTAATGAGTGGGGTAATTGTTAAAGTTCAATGACTTCATGAAAACCTTTTGCAAAGTTCAATGATGACTTGAATGATTTTCAAAGTTCAAGGACCCTTAGATTTTTTTTTTTTTTTTTTTTTTTTTTTTTTTTTTGCAAAGTTTAGTGACCATTTGGGTTATTATCTTCCTATAATCATGTTTTGATATCTTATAATGCCTATATCACTTATTATACGAACTAAATAAATAAATTTCCTCTCAGTCTCAATATTGACTTTAAATCATGCAGTTGGTAATCAAGCAATTGAATATAATTAAACCACTATAAGCAGCTCATACATCATCAATGTGCAAGAAAATCAATTGACTTAAATAAACATTACACCTAAATTGCATGGTTCATCCTAACAACCAATTATTTAGCCAATGATAATGATAGAATCAAAGTGATTCTTCAATCCAAGCATTGGATCTACTATCTCGAACTCTCCATGAGATTCATAGTTGTATTACTTATAACTTCCTTGTTCGTAAACAAAGCGGATTCGGACTAAATAAACGGCGTCTTCTTTTATTCGAAATGCCGCATGATCTTCAACCAAATATGTGCTTCAATATAATTACCAGGAGTAAGTGCTATGACTCAATTCCTTTCTTTTTAGAGGAAGTTGTCTTAGAAATTAAACAATTAAAAAAAAATCACATAGTTCAACACAAGGAATAAAGAAAAGAACACTAGCAATGGTTATTTTTTGACACCCAATTCTCAACGTTGGACCATCAATCTCCTCTTCAAAAGCTTATATATCTCCCGATCAACTGTGTTCTTCAACCTTCAAATCCCAAGTTGAGATACAAATAATGGGAATTCTATGTATTGGACGTATAATTTTGCCTCTAAGAACGTAAATCTCTAGTCTCCCCCTTTCTAATTGAATGCAAGATTCCTTTTTGTAGACCTCAATTTACGTCTCAAGATAGGAAACCATAATTCTAGTTCAACTAAGAATTGCTTGAATTTAATCTTTCCTTCTACAATTTGGTCTCTGCTTTCTCTTTTAATTTAGATTATGTAAAGTATCTAGTTCAAAAAAATTACTCTCAAAATCTATTTTTAATGACCAAGATAAGCGAAATATTTATATCAAATATCTATGTGCAAAAGTGTGGAACGTACTACAAAATTATAAATATAAAAACTAATTGGAATTTTTTGTGTGCCAAGAGTATGCCACATTAGCTAATTAATCTTTTATTAAAATTCTTAGCACGTTGTATCATAGTTATTAGACTCGACTTGAACATCAACCCGTATTGGGTCTCAGGCTACTGGTCGAATCGACAGGTCAATAATCAGATCGGTGGACCTATACATTTTTTAGGCAAAATTAAAGTTTTAAAGTTATTTTCTCTAATTATTTAGGTACATAAAATAAAGTAAAAAGTTGGACCAAAGTTTTTTAAAATTTTGTTTAGAAAACCTATAAATGATTCATTAGATAGACATAAATTATTGCACAAAAATAATAATAAGGCACTTTGTTATCAGTAGTGAGGAACCCATTATTTTCCTTAGAAGTTCTTGGTTCACGATTAACTCGATCAGGTACATTTATATTGCTATTGCTATTCGGCCATTCTATGTGGCAAACATTTAAGTTTTAGGCCCTGTTTGATAGCATGGAAAATCAATAGGAAATGGAAATAGAATTTCACTTTCCAACTTTAACAATGTTTGATGGCAAAGTTTTTCCCTGGAAATGATTTTCTCACCCCTCCTCTCATGCGCCTGATTTCTAGCTTTTTAAGGAATTCTAATTCCTATAGGTTAGGTGAGAATTTGTTTTCCAGGTTCCTTTTTTTTTTTATGGTCAATGAAAATAAATTCTATTCCTAATTGTTAAAAAAAAAAAATAATAAATAGTTTCCTTTAAGTAACAATTTCTGTGTAAAACAAAGTCAAAAGAATATCAAAAGATAGATGCTTTTTTTGAATTTTTTCTTTTTTCTTTTTTGGAAATGGAAACAAATTTTATCCCCAATACCAGTAAATTTTATCTCTTTAATTAATAATTTTCATGTAAAACAAAATCAAATGAACACCAAAAAACACTTTTATTTCAACATTTTTCACGTGAAAAATTATACCAATCAAACATAATAATTTACAATTTCTAGATAATTTAATTCCCTATAATTCGTTTTCAACTCAATTCAATTCAATTCAATTCCATCTTTACAATCAAACGGATACTTACTTTTAAATCAAAAGTATAATTAACGTGTTTTCCCAAAAAACTGAAAAAGGCCCAACCTTTTATTTCCTAATACCATAAACAGTGGATGTACAGAATACATTTCAATTTCTCTCTCTCACCTTTTCTACCGTCGCACTCCGACGACGGCGCCACCGAAAATTCACGCCTCCTCTTTTCTGATAACTTTTGCTCAACTTCTTTAAAAAAAATTGAATTGAAAAATTGGTTGCATCAACCCAAAGGCTGAATTTCTTTCTTTTTCTTAACTCACCCCGTACTCTGGCTACAACAACACCCGATTGCAGATCATGGGCAGAAGCTTTATAGGTATTCGATTGTTTGATTCGCCAAGTTTCTCCAGTAGAAGGCGTGGATGAATTTGTAAGTGTCGTTCATTTTTTTTCTACCAGTTATTTATTTATTTTTTCCCTTCTTTTTGTTTGGATGCATTTTTTTAGCATTCTATTTATTCATACTCGGGAAATGGGTCTAAGCCACTTCTTAGGTTTTTTCTAAATTTTGTTTGCACAATTTCTTCAGTCTCTGTTTATTTTCTGTGTGCCGTGGAAATGTATCGTTAATGGATTGCACCAATTCAATTTGTATTTTGTAGAAGTACAGAGAGAACCCTTATCTATAGATTTGCACCATTGGCATTGCTAAAAATTATCTTGTCACTCTGTCAAATTCAGGTTTTGATAATGTGTATATGGTTGGGGTATGTGTTTAAAATTCCATGTCACATGAATGCTATCAGTGCACGTTGCAGCGTATTGAGAAATGATGACTTACCAATTTTGATTTGCTATAAACAAGTTTTTAGGGAAAACATTCAAATTAATCAAGAATGCATTACAGGTAGCTACTGTGAACTTTTATGACAGACAACAATATCATCACTTTTAGACAATCAAGTTTCAAATGGCACACCATATTAGCATTTTGGCTACTAATAATAGCTGAAACAATTGTAATGCAAATAATATACTTTTGGCCCAGTATTTTCGCTCACTTGCATTTTTCCTCCCTAGATCCTACAGGACTCTTCTAGCCCTAAGCATCTGGCTTTATCATAATTCATATGGTAACTCATATTTTTAATTGTGGGTGTTAAATTTATCTCTATAAAATAGAGTTCTTTCATTGGGGAAAAAACTTGAGATACAAGGAAAAACAAAACACTATATCTATATTTTATATGTTATTTCTATAGTAAAACCTCACGATCTGAGAAGAATTTGTTATGCATGTGCAACGTGTAAAGATCTGGATAGGTAGAATTATTATGCACCTGTAACATGTAAAGCAAAGAAATCCACTAACTAGAATAGTTCAAAATACAAATCATTTTGGAATGATAAAGTAAATATATAGTTAAAGCGATGGATTCTGCCAAAATAAAATTGGACTTAAAAGAAAAATTGAATCAATCCCTAATTCATTTTGTTAGCCATGTTCGGAGTGACGACCATCGATTTTGACCTTACGCCATTCCTTTTTTGTGTTTAGATTTCCCGATCATGTCCTGAAACATAAAACCACTAGTTTATGTATTTTGCTAGTCCACAACTTATCTCGGTGAGTTCGTCTGAACCTCCAATCTTGTCACTTGAGAACTACTCTTACAAAAGTTGGTTTGGTCAGATAAAAAAAATAAAGATAAAGATATTTGTACAAAATCTTGTTGACAAAATGATGTACCCACTCTCACAAAATTAGTGAATCCCACGTGAATTTAAAAAATGTCGGCTTGTGATCCCCGCCCCCATTGTGAGTAGTGAATGAGGGAATTTGTAAAAAAAGTTTATACATAACATGATCCACTAAATAAAAAAGGCATAGGTGAAGTTGCAAGATTTGTTATTCTGGATTTCACTGTTGCACTTCATTACAATATCAACGAAAAATATGAAGTCTCACATTTAATACCCAATAGTTTATAAAATAAAACATTGTGAACTACTTTTTTTTGTATTTTCTCTTTGACCAAATCATTCACTTCTAAAGGCTTGTCCTGTCACTTATGCGTACGAATTGTTGATATTTTGCGGAATTAAAGAATGTATGATGCCTAGCGTCTTGTGTTTATTAAGTTGACACCACTCTGTAAAATTAATCAGTAACAATAACTAGTTAAAAAGTAAAAACCAACCAATCATATAAAAGAAAAAGTTGGTATTGATTATAAAATTCTTGTCGATGGAATTAGTTTTTCTTCGAATACAAATTGATCCCCATATTCGTTTTTATTTGTCCTTATATATTAATTGAAGAATTAATTGAAGAAACACAAACACGGGCACACAGAGAAACTTATATATGGCACGCTCCTTGTATATAGATAAGTTGTACATCATTCATAAAAGAGTAATGTTATTTACAGTCGTTTACTGTCGTAGTCGCTCTATATGGCATACATATGACGGTTAGTGATTTGATATATTAATGTGGTAGTTTTTATTACCTTATGCAACAATTCATTAACAGTCGCATGTATATCACGTAAGATGACTGTGCAGTGAGCGATTGCACATAGCATTACTCTTCATAGAATCAGTGAAAAGTTAGAACTCTGTTATCTTTATTTGTCTTCACTGCCCCAAAATTCTTGCACTAGTATGTTTTTCTCAGATAAGTATTTTGCTAGAAATATTGTACAGTTTCTTTATTTCAAAACAATATTTCTACTTTTACTCTCAAATGATCTGTTTGATAAGGTCAAAATGATTGTTTTATCTATACTTTTAATTGAGAAAACTAATAAGATCCTTAATTTAGGGAGTTTCCTCAAGTGAAACTATAATGAATTTTAAAATTCTTGTATATTTAGGTGGTCTCAACTGAGATTTTAATGAAATCTATTAAAATTTAGGCGTTTCCAATTGATATTTAAATGAAATTCAATGAAATTCTTTAAAATTTAGGTATTCTCAATAATTAATGAATTTATAATGATTTCATTAATAGAATGGTTTTAAAAGATTTAGATGGATTTCAAACTTAAAAAATAAATATAATCAAAACGATCAAAAAAAGAAAAAAAAATACATATAATCAAATCTTTTGAAATTTCACCACATTTGAGGAGATTTTTATAGAATTTGTGGAAATTTATAGAATTCATGAAATTTTATTACTGTTTATAATATTTTAAAATATATCAAAATTTTAGTTGAAGACACCCCGTCAAACTTTGGCCAGTACAAATGCACTATTTTCAGAAATTGCTTATCTTGAAATGCAACGTCAAAAGTTAAAATTGTTATAATAAGCGATTTTATTTCTCAAAGGGGTTATTCTTTGATGATCATATGATATACCAAAGAAACACTACAATACGAAGTACATTGAACTTAACGTCGCTGTAATTTTTGTACTTGAAAACGTTGTATAGGGATTTTAGATGTTTGAGAAAAGAAAGCTGACTAAGAGATAAAAAAAAAATGTTTCGATCAAACTAATTGTCACTAAGATCATGGGCATACAAAGATCTCAACCTTGACATTGATAATAATGTGGCGAGATTAGTTAATGCAGTACATCTGTGAGTGATGGCGAGGGAGAAACTGAATGGATGGAAATATTGTGCCAACAAATTGAGGTGTTGAAACAACATGTTGACAATTTTCTATCTTGATAGTCTGACAATCACAGAGATGCATCGGTTTGTAAGTAGGAGGAGGAGGGCTCTGACGACGACGAATGCCTTTTGTTCCTTCTAATTCTAAGCCAGAGATGAAATGTTACTTTTTTATGATGCTATTATAATTGATAAGTTCACAAATACATTGACGACCATCCAATTTGGGAGGAGGAACCTAATTTTAATTTGGAGAAATGGTCCAGAAAATCCAACTTTAACCTTAAAGCTGCTGAAGTTAGTAAAGCTAGTTTTCGAAAGTAAGTTTGGTGAAGTTGGCTACTTTTACCACCAGTCAAAATTTTCACCTCCATCGTGCACTAATCTTGAATTTTGCAATAATATTAATTATTTTACACAAATAGTTTATAGTTTTTTTAATTAATTTTATATTTAAGATTACAAATTTGGATATTTGGTGATCTTCACATGTCGAGGACATGTTAAATTTATCTATTTATTATTTATTTAATTTTTTTGTAAATAAATAACTAGCGAAGCATTAATATAAATCTTTTCGTTAACCAAATGTTTGATACTCAACTTCAATAATAGTTACACCATCAAATCACGTCAAAGTCAAACCTGCAACTGGTTCGTTACTTCAAATGATCAAATCTGGAAAGAAAAAAAATGATAAAATTGATTAGATAGATGATAAAAATATATTAGTTACAAAAAAGTTAGTATAGTATATAATGATCTTCATACGGAATTACAGCAGGTACCTTCATTTTGAATAGGGGAATACTTTCCAGAACACTTGGCCCTCAGAATTGGATTGTATAAATCTCAATGAAATGGAACCATACACTTCTCCAATGAGGATTTATGTACAGAACTGTAGCAATGCAAAGCACAACACATATGTAAGATACGATGAAGCTTACATAGAAGACCTCCATGTCCATGAAACCGCGCTCCTCACTTTCATCATTAGCAGATGGCAGGACAGGTGATGATCTAGTGCTAGTACAGTTGATTGGTAATGGACGACCACAAAGATAAGGATTTCCCTGGTAGCTATCTTCACCAAAGGTTCCAAACTGACCTTTCTCTGGTATAGTACCTGTTAAATTGTTATGTGACACGTTGAAGACTTCTAAAGTGTTTAACTTAATCAGACCATTGGGGATCTTCCCACCCAAGTTGTTATAGGAGAGATCTAAGCTCTCGATCTGATGTAGGCTTGAGAATGTTGCTGGAATTGTTCCATTAAGATTGTTGTGGGACAAGTTGATTGCATGGATCTCACTTAACTTTCCAAGGCTGTCCGGAATTTCACCATGTAATTTATTGGAAGAGAGATTAATTCCAGACATGTTATTGAGGATGTAACCTTTGTAAGGATAAGAATTTCCCTTTGTCTTAAATGTCACTATAATTGGCACTCTGTCGAGTACAATTATTGTTAACTCAGAGTTCTCCTTGGTTTTCCCCATTGATATGTTACCAAAGCACTGCGGGATTTGACCCGAAAGGAAATTAAAAGAAAGGTCTATCAAACTTAGTTTGTTCATCTCACAAAACTGGTGAGGGATCATGCCTTCAAAATGGTTACCGCTGAGTAGAAAAAATCTCATGCTTGATAGAGTGCCAATCCATTGAGGGATACTTCCAGTGAACTTATTCTCTCTGAGATCCAATAACTCCAACGAAGAGCTATTATAAAATGCTTCTATCAGCTCACCTTCTAATTGGTTATTGTTCAGATAGACATGACTTATTGTTGATGTATTGAAGCAGGATGGGACCGAACCACATAACTTGTTATGAGATAAATCTAAGAGGTGAAGATACTCGAGATTGCAAATTTCCATTGGGATAAGACCCTCAAGCTGGTTATTAGACATAGAAACTATTATCAAATATGTCATATTACCCACTGAAGTGGGAATTCTGCCAGACAAATGGTTGTTACTAATGTCTAACACCATTAAATTTCTGGTAGACAAGCTACTTGAAATGGTGCTTGACAAGTTATTGTTGGACAAGTCCAGTTGATCTATATATTTTAAGTCACCAAAACTAGAAGGTATACACCCATCAAACATATTTGTTGACATGTTTAATAAATACAAATTTGGAAAAATAGAAGTTATGTTAATTGGAATACGTCCATTGAACTTATTATTAGTTACATCGAAATTCTGCATGTCATGATTGGTGCTTGTTGGCAACATGAGAGTTCCTATAAAAAGCATTAGCTCTCAGGAGAAGTGTCGAAAGTCCTGTATTGTTCTCTAACAACCAAGTTGGAAAATTCCCTCCTATGTTGTTCTTTGAGAGACTAATATATCTCAAGTTTGATTGATAGTACAAAAAGTTGGGTAGTGTTGGATGGCCACTACAATTTGACATATCAAAACCTTCTAGTTGAAAATTGGGAACCCATTTTTCCAACTCGTTTTCATTTATTATTTCATTGATTCCCACTTTTAAAGACTTTAAGTTCGAATGATTAAAGAATGCCTTGAAAGAAATTGGAACTTGAAAATGGTTACTTGAAAGAGAAAGAACTTCGAGCGATGTGAGTTTGGAAAGTGGAGATGAGGCAATATTTCCGGTGAGCTTATTGGAAGAGAGGTCAATCCATCTAAGAGAGGTCATGTTTGCAACACATGAAGGAAGCATTCCTTCATACTCATTCCAATTCAGATATAACTCTTGGAGGTTTTTAAGTTCACACCACCCTACAAAAAAATCACTGCTTCAATAGCCATCAAAAAAATAGAGAATTTAAAGACTTCGCCCATAAAAGGTAAGATAAATTTTTGTGTCCGAACTTACGTTTTAAGTCAGAAAATTACATTTTTATTGGTGAAATATGGAAATAAGTAGCTTATTTTGAATGTAACTCTTATGAGGGACAAAGCCAGAACTCTATAAAAAATTCTTTTATGCTGGACATAATTTTTACAAATATAAAAATTCATACGGAAAAGCATTGTTTACCAAACAAGTCGTTGAAGTTTACCTCGAACGGGAAGGGTGCCATTGAGTCCACAACTAGACAAAGATAAAATCTTGAGGGAACTCAATGCTCCAATACTTTGTAGAAAGTTCCCATCCACATCAGAATAGTCCAAGAACAATTGCTCCAACTGTCTTAAATGTCTCAACGCTTATGCACGAAAACAATGGGATGGGCATTAGAATTGGAGTTCATATTATAATTAGTAATATAATTTTTGTGACTAGAAATTACAACTCTTTCGGGATACCAAAAGTTTCTATATTTCCGTTTATATAATTGAAAATAGAAATAATTGAAGAAACAATTTATTAATGAGCATGCTAAGTCATGGAAAACATTGTTTACCAAACAAGTCTTTGAAGTTTACCTTGAATGGGTAGGTTGCCATTGAGTTTGCAACTAGACAAAGATAAAATCTTGAGAGAACTCAATGCTCCAATACTTTGTAGAAAGTTCCCATCGACTGTAGAATTGTCCAAGAATAGTCCCTCCAGCAATCTTAAATGTCTCAACTCTTATACACAAAAGCAATGGAATGTGCATTAGAATTGGAGTTCATATTATAATTAGTAATATAATTTTTGTGACTAGGAATTACAACTCTTTATGCTTACCAAAAGTTCCAATACTTTCATTTATATAATTGTCCCGAAAATAGAAGTGCTCGAGGTATGAGAATGCCTTCAAAGATTGCACCATGTTGCTAATGTTGGAGACACTTATGCCATCTAATTTTAGCACTCGAAGACGATGCATACTTTTGATGCCTGGAATGGAGAACTATCTAGGGTAATACTCATCAACGTTAATTATTGAGAAATGGGAAATTAAAATGTTTAAGTGTCGACGATGAAATGTAATAAACAACAAACTACTAATTTAGTGATATGGAAGGGCTGTGAGCAAAATAACAGGGACGCTTCGGCTCATGCATAAGAAGGCACAAGAAAAGGAAATTAATAATGAATAAGGATAAAGAATGAATTGAGGTGATATACCATAAATGATATACCATAAAATCATTCAGATCTATCAAAAAGGAAAAGTAAATTTATTAAAAGGTCCTAACAATATAGTCTTCTTTTGACCTAAAAACAATTTATCACACTTGTAAAAGGAGACTCACTTAGTATCGACAGAATGTCGTCGTTGCTAATATCATCGTTACCATTGAAATCAAGAACTTCCAGCTTGGTTAATCCAAAGAGCCTTTCACTGCCTAGACAATTATTTCTCTTAAAAAATAATATTATGTTTCGTCAAGCTAATAAAAATTGAAATAATACCCAGAGGAAATCAATGTTGATTAAGAGTACGCACACAAGCATAATGGTTGGGAATCAAAAAAATAATATTATACTTCTGTAATAAGGTGTGTTACAATATTAGATGAAAAGAAATTATTAAAAAAAAAAAAAGGTCTTATTTGTTGTATATGTCTTGTACCAGAAGTTCCCTTAATCTTTCACATTTGAATTAGTACTTGGGTTGATTAGAACTATTAATATATCAATGACATTAACATATGCGTTTCGTAATGCTAACCGTATTAGGAAGGGCAAATGACAAATGTTTTGATCTAATAGGAAAGCAACTAGCATAATTTTCGAAGTGGCTATTCTTAGATAATCAAATGATCTATCAAAGAACGAGCAGAATACAAAGTATATTGAACTTACTGTTGCTGAATTTTTTTCTCATTAAATAGTTGTTTCCAAAACGCAAATACTTTAGAGAAGAAAGCCGACTAAGAAATGACAAAATTTTGTTATCAAATGAATTCCAACTCAAATCAAGGGCCTCCAAATTTCTCAACTTCGACAGTCTATCAATACCTGCAACAAAGTTCAATATATCTATAATATCACTCGAAGGAAAAACTTAGACAACCAAAAAACAGAGGAGTAATAAAATTTAATCAACTGGCTGGTTACTCGAGTAGAGATTTCATCTTGCCTTCATTCTCAACCCATCCTACTAACTGATTCTGCTCCAAGAAGAGATTTCTGAGCTCTCGAAATGGAAGAAACAGAGAGGCATTAAAATACCAATCTCCTAATTTCCTCTCCCTAACGTAATCAAGATCAAGTTGGATTACTCGTTTAGTTGTGTTGCTGGATTCAACCGATTCCCATTGACAACAATCAGTTGCAGTCTCATTAACCACCCATGAAGACAGTGATTCTCCATCTGGGAAGTTTATATTTGCTCTAAGGTGCAAAAGAGCAACCTTCTCTTCCTCCCAACACCCTAACAATACCATTCATTTAGTAATGAAAGCACAATCATCACTAGAATTACCAGTAACTTAATTCCCATCTTTCTTAACTGCTAAGCCACAAATTCTTACTTTTTCTGGATAAATGAGGTTGCAAACTCTCCAATTTATAGCACTAAGTGGATTTGACGTGTTAGGCGGTTTGTTTTTATTATAGACTTTTCCTTGAAGTTGTAAAATTCGTAGCACTTTCTTATTGTTTAATTGATTAATAGGAAATTGCCCATACTTAGTTGATTGATTGAGGATTATAAAAGAACCCTATATGAGTTGAAAATTACTGTCCAAAATTGACCATCCGACTTGCCTTCCACAAATAATTCATTGACACATCATTAGACACCTATTTTTAATCACAAGTGATGGTGAATTAAAAGTTGAACATGCAGATCTCAACTTACACTATATAGTACTGACTTTTTTTTCTTCATGCACAAGAAAAAATTCTTTAAATTTTTTCCTAATGGATGGAGAAGAATTTCCAGGAAGGATATTGTTTTTCTTAAATATCTATGTGCAAAAGTGTGTGGAAAATCATGAGAATAAGAACTAATCAGAATTTTCTATTTCCGTGTGCCAAGGGCATGCCAGATTCTCTTTTACTAGAATTCTTAATTAGCACCATGTATTGACCTAATCCTACGTTCCGTCATTATTATTGAATGATCAGCTCACTTTCATTATTATCCTAGTTGTACATTTTTATTTTTATTTTTTGCAATCAAATCATTAATTGATTGACAGTTGGAAGAAGAAGACAAATATTTTGCATTGCAAAAACATTTTCTCAGTAATGCAGTGCCCCGTGGACCACGTTCCGCAAAGTGGTGGAAATTGATGAAATTTCTACAATTTGCCCCACCTATCAAGGTCTATAAATGTCTATATTACATGAGAAGTAAAACTTACAACTTATATCTATTTCGTGAAATATGGTTCATTATTTCTCTTTCATATTTTGTCGTTGAAGGATATAAACAAGATTTTAATTCGACTCAAAATCTGTCATTTATTTATTCATCACTAATGCTCCGTGAAGGAACCTTATTGTAACGCTCGACCCGCTGGTACAAAAGCGTCGCTCAAACAATTGTACTTTAATTTTAGACTTAGAAATTATTTAAAATAATAGTTTAATTTAAGAATTTAAGCAAAAAAATTTCTTTAAGAACTATATATATATATATATATATATATATATTTTTAAATAACTACCAATGAATTTTCCATTAAAATCTACTTTTAAATAGTAACATGATAGTAACATAATTTTAAAGGCATTTATTAAAGAAGAAAAGAGTTGAGCAAATTCATGCATATGCCTATTTTATTACGTGAATAGTGGCAAGTACATATCTACGAAATAAATAAAAGGTATGATAGTTTTCCATATTAGAAGTAAGAAAGAAAGTAATATGTTTTGATTTCTCATTTTCACACGGTGGGTTTTAAAATAAACTCGTTTGCATAGTTATCGATGTCAAAATTTCGTGAAATTTTTAAGGAAAAGTATGGAACATCTTATAATATGACATATCCAAAATTAGCTTCCGTCGGCATCATATGGGTATTAAAATATATTTCACTTTTACAAAGCGACCCAGTTGAAAGGCAAATTGGTGCAGTTTATTTAAAATAACATATAAAATTCCATAGACATCAACACCACATGATTTCCAATTTAATCAATAGCTAATCCATGAAACTATCAAATCCAATTGGTTTCATCCAAAAATTCGAAGTAACGGTCGAGTTATGAATTTCTGAAGTCAAAGCAGAAGCTGAAAAACAGCAACACTAGTCAGTGCAGTTTACCTTAAGTGACATATAAGATTCCACAGACATCGGATTGACACGATTCCATGTTTATTCAGTAGCTATCTTATATGGTTATCCAGCATCATTAGTTTTGTCTAAAAATATCAAGTAACGAGTGAACTATGAATTTTTTAAGTCAAGACAGAAACTAAAATTTTTAAAAGACAGCAATACTTTAATTTGCTAACACTCTTTTTCATTTCTTTTTGTAAACGGTGTTTTGTAAATTGACTTCTATAACACATATCTACTTTTAAACATAACTAATTCATGAAGAAATATTCTTTGAATAGTTCAACATATGACATCCATAGAAATCCATATAAAAAGAAACAAACGTAAACATTCATGATCGAATTAAAATTATTAAAATGCCGGCTTCCTCCATAGTATGTTGCATCATCTTCTACCATCACCCACGCCCTAAGAAAATTCATTCAACTTGTAGGAAGGAAATTAATCCTTGAGTTTGAAATTCAATAGATATCATCGGTGCGTTTCATTATCAAATTAGAAATTTCAAACAATAGATTCATACCGTCGCACGTAGATGGATTTTCGGAAAACTCCAATTATTATAGCATTATCATAACATGTAGAGCCGAAAAATGATCATTCAAACTGTTGTAGTGCCGAAACACCGTACCCAGAGGTACCATTTCATTCAAACATTTATCGAAAAATCATAATTTAAAAACAAAATAAACACTTACACCTCTATCTACCTTGAATTTTTTTTTTTAGACATAAAAGAACAAAATGTGTAAAAAGTCTTTCTTCTTCTAACCCTTGTTATTTCCTTAAACTTAACTTGACATGAAATATATATTTTTTAAGAGAAAATAAGAGTAAATTCGGATTTGAAAAGAGGTATTGTGAATAAGTGACATTTCTCTTCTTGTAACATTTCGTTTTAATGAAAAACTAAATGAGGAAGTTGTATTATCATTAAATTTTTTTAAATTTAGTCTTTAACTAAGAATTTGAAGAGTTTCTAATCCATAAAAAAATAATTCATATAAAAAGTTTTATAAAAACATATATACATGGTGATTTGAACTTGGGTTGCCTATATGAAATACTATGTAGATGACCATTAGGGCAATGCAGTAATTCATTAAATCTTTGTGATTAAATTTACTTAAATTTAATCTCTTAAATTGTTAGGCTTTTAATTAGCTTATGGTTTGTGTTTTCATAATTTTAAATGGGTTGAGTTTCCATAGCTCATTCCTTAAATAGATTAGGCTCGTGATGCTAGATCACCACAAAATAATAGCCTTATTTCATTTTATTTCTTGAGCTTTTACACTTATCATTTTGCATGAAACCATTTGTCGTTGATTAATGAGACATCAGTCTTAACATTTAAAATAAGAAAGAAAAACCCTTTACACGTTATTTATTTTGAATATAATTGAAGCAGTTTGCATATGGAAATTATCAATTATTTTATAGTTTTGAGATTTTATTACTTTACTATGATTTTAGATTGTTTCATGTTGATTAAGATTTTGCTCATGGTAGTATTTTAATTAATATTATGGTGTTTTGAAATTTCCTAATAGAACAAGTATATATATTTTTTGTAAAAATAAGACCACTTGGTCTTTTGCAAAGTCGTTTTATAAAGTGGACTTGCTGAAATGAAAAATTGTGTGTTCTCAATTATGTGTCCAAATTCTCAATATACTACGATTCAACAAGTGTTTTATAGCTAGCTTCCTGATATTCATGAGTATTTGTCCATATAGAATTGATATGCCTAACTCAAAAATTAACAATACACGATTAAAAGTAGCAACTTAATATTATCTAGTTAAGGAAAAAAAAAATGAAACAATATTATAGAGTTCAAACTTAGAATGAGGTGCAGATAATTTAAGAACAGCTACTTTGAAATTAGAAAGTGTTGGTTTGTGTAAGACTTCTAATAGTCCATTTTAAGATTAGTGAGCTTTTGGTTCAGTTTTCTAACTTAAGAATTATATCTATATCATGAAATATGGTTCATTGTTTCCATTGACAGGGATGGACCCAGAATTTTCATTAATGTGGGCTAAAATTTAGAAACATCGATGTAATAACATTTATAGATTAAAAGAGTCACTGCAAGACAATATTTATTCAAGTAGTTCCGATGAGAATTTGAAATATGCAACAGAGCTGCCGACTATGACAGTACATACAATGGTCACAACTTGAGTTGGGGTAAACTGCAACCTTATCCCTTCCCTTCTTCACCCATACTATATTTTCCAATTGTGAAACCCACATCACAAAGGCGGAAAAAAATTCAAATTCGACCAAAAGGGAATGCAACTTATCTTTGGCATATAAAAAGACGCAAAAAAAAAAATGAGAAAATACAATTTTTTGTTTGGGATTTCGAGATATACATAGAGAGAGGGCATGTCTGGGATGGGTTGTGGTTGGGGAATTGGGCTCATTTAAGTTTACATCCTAAATGTACTTCTTGAAATGAAGCATTCAATTACCATTCCTCTCAATGCAAACCATTCAATCGATTTTGAAGGTCTTTGCACTGAAATTTCTTCAAGAAATATATCACTTTCTTCACTAACAAATGCCATTTTCTCAGCAATGGATTCCTGGCCCACAAATTTATCCCTTTTGGTTAGGGGTGGGCGCGGGTCGGTTCGGTTCGGTTCTAAAGAGAATCGAACCGAACCGAACTTTTCGGGTATCTAGTAAATGGAACCGTCGGGTCCAAATATAATTATGGAACCGTTCGGGTTCGGTTCTGTTCGGTTCGGTTCGGTCCGGTTCGGGTCCGTTCGGTTCTTTACTATAATTAAATTTTTTTAACATTTATAACAACATTATATAATTACAACTAATGATATATTCAATGGTTTTGGAATGTCAGAGACTGGTAAACTACCCTATTCAAATGATCGCTACGATCAAAGTTTCGGTTGGCGAAAGTCACAGTTTCGATCGGAGGTCACAGTGTCGGCCGATGATTGTATAGGTTTTGGAATATTAGCGAGGCTGCGAGAGTGAGTGCGAGAGTCAAGACAACGTTATGCACTTTAGTGTTGGTGTTTAGGGTTATTTAGTAGATTTGATCTTGTTTGGCTAAGAAATGAAACAATAAAATGGGTAATTGGGCCAAAAATTAAAAAATTAGAAATGAAACAAATTATTTGACCAAAAATTTGAATTTAGAAATTGTTAATTTGTTTAGAAAAAATTAAAATTAAAATAATTTGATTTACTCAATATAAAAAAATTAGAAATATTCGGTTCTTATTCGGTTCTTCGGTTCTTGGTCTAGAACCGAGAACCGAACCGTACCCGTCGGTTCTCAATTCAGATACCCGTTCGGGTATTTAATTTGACAAGAACCGTCGGGTTCGATTCGGATCGGTTCGGGTTCGGTTCGGTCGGTTCGGTTCGGGAGATTTGCCCAGCCCTACTTTTGGTTAGAAAGTTTACTTATCTCTACTTTTATGCTCAAATTCCTTTGATTTTACATAACTAAAGAAGTAATTGAGTAAAAATAAGTAAGAATAGGGTAAAAAATTATACTATTTAAACGAGAAATTAATATCCGACAGAAAAAGGCTAATTTGGCTAAAAATTACATGAGAAAAAACATATAAATAACCAATCACATAAATCCTACTCATAGATAAAGCTTAGAAACTACCTTGAAACAATCGAAAGGCAGATTTCCAAATATTGAGCCCATCTCAGTAGATTGAGGATTGATACAGCGTTGCCTAATCTTCTAGCACCCATGAAAGAAACGGAAAATAGAGAAGGTGAGAGATACATGGAGCAAAAAAGAACATCGGCTCTCTAAATACAAAATGCTCCTTATTTTGAAGAGATAATACTTAAAAATGAGCTCTAAAATGCTCTTTATTTTAATTTTTTAGAATAAAAAATTGATTTGACTTTCAAGCTAATACTTAAAAATAAGCTCTAAGAGATTGTGTATTTTAATTTTTTAAAATAAATAGTGAGTTTGGCTCTTAAAATTAGAGAGTCGAACTAATTCTTTATTCTTAATGTACAATGATTTCATTTAAGAAGTCAGGTATTTCAATAATATTTTTTTTAAACAATTCAAACTGCGTTTAAATTGATCGGCTGTTGACATATAAAAATAATGTTAATAAAGTATGAGGAGAAATTAATAATTGTTTCTTGAGAAATGCAAAATAAAGAGCCACAATAGAGAATAATGTTGGAATGAAACATTTTTGACTCACAAAATTTAAAAATAGTCTCTATAATACATGAAATGCTATTTATAAATAAAAGGTCTCTTGAATATGAGCAAAGGGGATTGATATCTAGATTTTGGTTTAAATTGGACTAATTGGTTTTAATTTTTTGTTTTGGGCTTGGGCTATTATTAATTTGAATACATACTTCGTTGATTTAAAGATGGGCTAACTGAAATAAATAATAAAAAAAATACATAATTACCGTAGTTACAAGAAACACTTTCAAATTCAAGGAAATTGTAGAATTCTTTCAAAAATCACATGGTCATATTTATGATCATCTAATAAAATTTTATGACTTATTAATTAATTCAACTGCTCAAGATCATGATAACATATAATTTATTGTCACAATCATATACAAGTCATATCGCAGAATGCCACAGTTAGAAAAAAAAACAAATTGTGGGTCACTATTACAAATTTAATAGCAAACTACAATTTTATTATGTAGGGCAGTGGACTTAGATATGTAGTGGCAGCGATGAGCTGTTGCTGATGTGGGTGTGGATTGGAAAATTGGGGTTTGGATTCGGAAGAAATGAATTAATTGATAGGGTAGTGTAGTGTGAGGTAGTGTGGGTTAGAGTATAAACCTTACTTAAGACAAATTTAATTCTCATTTTACAAATGAAAAGATAGAAAAAAGGAATGGGAGTAATTTTTCCTAAAAAAATTATAAAAGTTGGATGTGGACTATAGCTGGCACGAGTTGATGCCCAGTGTAATGCCCCGAAAATTTTGTGGAATAAAATTTATTTATTCTTTATGCTATATTTATATATTTTGAAATTTGAGGGATTAAAGTGAACTAGTATTAATTTTATTATTATTTGGGCTAGGTAATTAGATTTTGATAGAGCGAGATTTAGTATATCAATATTGGACTCATTTTTATAGTTCGTAATAAATAACGCATTATGAACTTGAAAAATGATTTATTTGGATAAGTTAGGCCTAAGATCTGAAAGTTTAAAGAAGTTATCTTTAATCGGTAATTAATTAAACATGGTTTAAGATTTTAATTTTAGGTAGCCTCCTATGAGATGATAAATGTTGATTTTGGATAATGATAAACTTTTGAGATTTGGATAAAGTTATATTGTAATCTTAAATTGATTTTAATAAAGTTTAATAGCAATCAAAATTCTATTATTTGAAATCAATTCTTATTCAAATTCCTTGTATTACACAGTTTTTCAGTTCTAGTTGCATACAAACTCAATTGAGAATTTCAACTATAAATACTACAAGAATTCTCATTATTTCACCATAAAAAAATAAAGAGAGAGCCATGGTGGAGAGAAAGTGAAGGAGATGAAAAAGAATAGAAAAATAATGGGAGAATTTTCTTGTGCAAGATTTTACCTTCTTTTTACAACCTTTCAACAATTAGGTACGATAATTTTGTGCAAGTGGTTTGTTTTCTTATGCTTTAGGCATTCAATTAAATATGTATGAATTGCAATTGGACATTCAAGTTCGTTAATAAGAGATATGAAATGCTTTGGGAATTTAAGAGGACCTATGGATGTGTCTCTAGGTCACCGATATACTCCATAAAAGAAGTGTGGTATGGAGTGTTTATTCATTTGTTATATATAATTGTGTATGAAAACTATACACGTATTTTACTGGATATTTTTAAATAATCACTCTTACAATAATTTTATAGGTTAGCTCGAGTCGATTGAATCTGTGGCGAGACGGTGATGCGGGCTGCCAAGTGGAAAAGTAAAAAAATAAATATTAATTTTTTTTTTAATCTTTAAATTTATTAGTTGGTTTAAAGTTCAAAGTCATGTTATTTAATTGGTTAGTTGAACATGTTTATTATTATTATTTTTTTTAAAGATGCAGTTTCCCATGTTTTGTTTAAATTTATGGATATTTTAGTTATTTTATTTAAAATTTTATTTTATCATTCTACCTTCAATACAAAGAAAATAAATTTTTTTGTAACACTTCAAGATTTGTGAAACTTTGGGGTGTTACACCCAGGACTCAATCTATACCTAGGAGGAGGTGGTTTTGTGGTGATGGTGGCGGTGGGATGGTAATCGGTGGGAATTGAAGTCGTGTGGAACATGTGGTGGGCGTGAGTATGTTTGGTGGGCTTTGCGCAATTTGGGATCTTTCATTTCTACGCTTTACTCCAATTCTTTTGAAAATATAAAATAATAATGGTAAAAAAAAAAAAAAAAGAATTTGGCAGAAGATGAAAAGATAATGTAGTTGTTGTAATTTCCTCTGAAGAAATTAGTTACTGTTTAATCCAAACATCAGATGCTCCTTAGAGGTAAAAACGTTTGCATATTCAATTCTTATCTCTTAATTAAAAGAAAATTTACAAAGGAAGCTTCAGAGCTCTTAAAAATGTGCTGTGCAGCGTAGTCTTAAACCTTCAAAAATAGTAGCAAATACTTCTCAAATCTTTCAAATAAAGTAAAAGAATGGACCAAAGTTTTTAAAAAATATTTTTAGAAAACATATAAATGATTTAGATAGATATAAATTATTGCACATAAAAAATAATAAGTCACTTTGTGTTTCAGTAGTAAGGAACCCATTATTTTCCTTAGAAGTTCGGGTCCGCGGTTAACTCAATCAGGTATATTTCTATTGCTATTCGGCCATTCTATGTGGCTGCACAATCGACATCCTATGTGGCAAACTTTTAAATTTTATTTTTAAACCAAAAGTATAATTAACGTGTTTTTCCCAAAAAGAGCCCAACTTTTCATCTTTCCAATACCATAAAGAATGGATCTACAGAGTACATTTCAATCTCTCTCTCTCACCTTATCCACCGTCGCACTCCGACGGCGGCACCACCGAAAATTAAAGCCTCATCTTCTCTGATAACTTTTGCTAACTTCTTTAAAGAATATTGAATTGAAAAATTGGTTGCGTCAACCCAAAGGCTGAATCTCTTTCTTTTTCTTAACTCACCCGTACTCCGACTACAACCACCACCGATTGCAACTCATGGGCAGAAGATTTATAGGTGCTCGATTGTTTGATTTGCCAAGTTTCTCCAAAAGAAGGCGTGGATGAATTTGTAAGTGCTGTACATTCTTTTCTCTACCAGTTTTTTTTTTTTTTTAATTGATGGATGCATTCTTGAAAGTGTTTTTAGCATTCTGTTTATTCATACTCGGGAAATGGGTTTAAGCCACTTCTTAGGTTTTTTCTAAATTTTGTTTGCCCAATTTCTTCAGTCTCTGTTTATTTTCTGAGTGCCGTGGAAATGTATCGTTAATGGATTGCACCAATTCAATTTGTATTTTATAGAAGTACAGAGAGAACCCTTATCTATAGATTTGCACCATTGGCATTGCTAAAAATTTATCTTGTCACTCTGCCAAATTCAGGTTTTGATAATGTGTATATGGTTGCTGTATGTGTTTAAAATTCAATGTCACATGAAAGCACATTTTCTTGAATGCTATGCTGCTGAAATTTTCACAACCATTGATGTCAGACTTCTGTACCATATTAAATTTTAAACAGATAGACGCTGCTGCAAATTATGAATGCTATCAGTGAACGTTGCTGCAAATTGATCAAGAATGCATTACATTTTGAACTACTTTTTTGTAGTTTCTCTTTGACCAAATCATTCACTTCTAAATGCTTGTCCTCTCTTATGTGTACGAATTCTTGATATTCTGTGGAATTAAAGAGTGTATAATGCCTAGCTTCTCGTGTTTATTAAGTCGACACCATTCTGTGAAATTAAACAGTAACAATAACTAGTTAAAAAGTAAAACAAAAAACCAATAATAGAAAAGGGATAGTTGGTATTGATTATAAAATTCTTGTTGATGGAATTAGTTTTTCTTCCAATACAAATTGATCCCGGGAATCATTTTTATTTGTCCTTGTATATTATTTTAGATTTATTGGTTGGGTGAGCAATTTTTTCCTTGTGCTTTTCTTTGTAGCGAAAATTCCTCGTTAAATCTTAATTCCGGGCTCATAAAACAACCAAACGAACACCGGTTTACCTCGACTCGACCTGAGACTTTCACTTTCACTTTGGACTGCTCTCTTTCTCTCTAACCCCACAAAGGAGAAGGGTGGTGGTGTTAGCAATCCACAAAAGTATGGAGAGGAAGACGAAGATATCACAATGGTTGAATCTCACTCACAACTACACATGGCTTCCCTCTCTCTCGGTTGCCTCTCTTCTCTCAACTCTCCTCTCCATTGCTACAACACACACACACCACCAAAAACGGTTGGGAGGTAAATACATATATATAGGTTAGTTTAGGTCACTCTAATTGGGCCTAGGGTTCACTAAGCGGGTTACCAATTAACCTAAACTAACGGGCCAATATTCAATTCCATATTAATCACTAAATGGTCCAACTAACCAAATAATCATCCAACCCAAACCCGAACTATCCAAAAGTGTAGTTCATCTTCGAGTTGAGCCAAGTCCATGGTGTCGATAAATAATCCGATAACTGTTTTAAATCATCACCCGGATTATTGGGTATCAAAAAATCCAACAATCTCCACCTTGATGCCCAATAATCTGCAAGCAATCAAAACACACAGTTTATACTTGCACAATCAAGATAATCCAATAAAATTGGAATAACAGACCTTACCTCGTGTTTCCAACTTGAAACACATACGATACTTGCTCCATGTACTCACCAGGGCTAAGGTCAAGAACACCCAAGTAGAAACAAGTATTCACAGTGAACAAACAATCATGTAATGAAGATATATATAGGATAACACACACAGAGATCTTTTCAAAACTACGTTCACACAAAACCACAAATTAACACTTAGTTAATCAACACACGGTCATGCACATATGCAACAAATGCATAAATGACCCTATGAAAAATCTCACCACATTTATCCTATCCCATTCCGTGTTACTCCCACCTCGAGAATACATATCTCCTCTCATCGTCCACCATGCTCACTAAACCAATCACTTAACTCATATCTAATTGGCAAGTCACAATAGATCCTAAGCTCAGGAATAATTCTCTATCACCACGTCATTTCTCCTAACCTATGTAGATAATGAGATTCCACCTTACAGAAGTGATAGAAGTGTCTCTCTCACACTCCACCTGTACAGGGTCTCTTTCACAGATAAAGGAACACATTTGATCACATCTCCACTCGTGATCCAAATGTCACACTCTACATCCCTCGTGCATATCATCAATGCACCTCTAGGCATCTATACTCCACCTTGCCAAAAGACATCCAACTCACTGCTAATGCATCTCAAACTCACTATGGCAAAACAACACCTTTCGGTGACCACAAAGGTTACTCATCAATGCTCCCAAAAAATTCACAAAGAAAATAGTGAAGGTGGCACTTTCAAAGAGAATCGAAGAAAGAGTCGATTACTTCACTACATTTTGAACTACTTTTTTGTAGTTTCTCTTTGACCAAATCATTCACTTCTAAAGGCTTGTCCTCTTTTATGTGTACGAATTCTTGATATTCTGTGGAATTAAAGAGTGTATAATGCCTAGCTTCTCATGTTTGTTAAGTCGACACCATTCTGTGAAATTAAACAGTAACAATAACTAGTTAAAAAGTAAAACAAAAAACCAATAATAGAAAAGGGATAGTTGATATTGATTATAAAATTCTTGTTGATGGAATTAGTTTTTCTTCCAATACAAATTGATCCCGGGATTCATTTTTATTTGTCCTTGTATATTATTTTAGATTTACTGGTCGGGTGAGCAATTTTTCCCTTATGGTTTTCTTAACAAATCTATACACAACTACCTCATTTGAGATATATATATATATAGACATGCTTCTAGAAACAAATATGGAAAGCACGATCACTTAGCATTTGTCTGACTTTATTTCTTTGTGAAACAAGTAAAGCAAAAGTTCGATTGACATAGAATAAAAATTGTGAAATATAAATCTGACAAAGAATTAATTGAAGAAACACAAACACAGGCACAGAGAGAAACTTATATATGGCATGCTCATTGTGTATATATAAATTGTACATTTCATGGACTCTGTTTTTTCATTCGTAGAATCGGTGAAAAGTCGGAACTCTGTTATCTTGATTGGTCTTCACTGTCCCAAAATTCTTGCACTTGTATGTTTTTCTCAAATAAGTATTTTGCTCTAAATATTGTACCGTTCCTTCATATCAAAACTATATTTCTACTTTTTTTCGCAAATGATTTGTTTGATAAGGTCAAAATGATTGTTTTATCTATACTTTTAATTGAGAAAACTAATATGATTCTTAATTTAGGGGCTATTCTCAATTGAAATTGTGATGGATTTTAAAAATCCTTGTATATTTAGGTGTTATCAATTGAGATTTTAATGAAATCTATCAAAATTTAGGAGTCCCCAATTGATATTTTAATGAAATTCAATGAAATCTTTTAAAATTTAAGTATTCTCAGTAATTAATGAGTTTATAAAGATTTCATTAATAGAATGATTTTAAAAGATTTCGATGGATTTCAAACTTAAAAATACAAATAATCGAATCTTTTGGCCATTACAAAAGCACTATTTTGAGAAATTGCTTATCTTGAAGTGCAACATGAAAAGTTAAAATAGTTATAATAAGTGCTTTTATTTCTCAAAGGGTTTATTCTTTGATAATCATATGATTTACCAAAGAACCACTACAATACAAAGTACATTGACCTTACTGTCCCTGTAATTTTTTCAACTTGAAAAAGTTTTATAGAAATTTTAGATGCTTGAGAGAAGAAAGCCGACTAAGAGATAACAAAATGTTTCAATCAAATTAATTGTCACTAAGATCAGGGGCATTTAAAGTTCTCAACCTTGACAATCGATTGAGAATAATAGGGCGAGATTAGTTAATGCAACAACATCAGCAAGTGATGGCGATGGAGAGACCGAATGGATGGAATAATTGTGCCAACAAATTGAGGTGTTGAAACATGTTAACAATTTTCTATCTTGATAGTCTGAAAAAGACAGATGCATCAGTTTGTAAGTCGGAAAGGAGGGCTCCAATGACGACGACGAAATGCTTTTTGTTCCTTTTAATTCCTAGCAAGAGATAAAATGTCACTTTTTATTATGTTATTATAATTGATAAGTTCTCAAATACATCGATGACAGTCCAATTTGGGAAGAGGAACCTAATGTTAATTTGGAGAAATGGTCCGGAAAATCCAACCTTAACCTTAAAACTGCTGAAGTTAGTAAAGCTAGTTTTCGAAAATTTGTTTGGTTTAGTTGTCTACTTTTACCACCAGTCAAAGTTTTTACTTCCATCGTACACTAATCTATAATTTTGCAATAATGTTAATTATTTTCCACAAATAGTTTACAGCAAATTTTATTTTATTTTTTGTTTTTTTGTTTTTTGCCTTTCAACAAATTAGATACCCCATAATTTGTCAATTGAAAATCATATGTATGGAAAAATTTCTTGTGTGTGTACGCGAGGTGGAGACACAACCACCTTTCTTAGCCTTTGTTTAATTCTCATTATTTTTAAAATATATTTTTTTCTTTCTTTTTTTCAACTGACATTTTTAGTAAAATAATATTACACGTAATTCTAAAATTTTTCATTATTTTATAAAAATACATTCTCTATTAATTTACTATTCCAAAATGCATTGTTCAATAAAAATGGGGCTCAATCATTTTTGTTTTTGTCATCATCATCATAAAGCTCTTTTCGTTTCAAGCAGTGTATAATACACATTGCTAAATTTTAGCATTAACTTTTTCGATATGTTAAAATTTCTAGAATTTTTCAACAAATCTCATATTTTACATTCAAATTTTAGCATTATATTTTACATTTAATTAATCAATTGAAAATTATATCTAAACAAGAATTTACGAACCATGTGTAAACACCAATAGGATTACATAGCATTATTACTTTAAAAAATAAACTATTAAAGGTAAAAATCAATATACAATAAAAAATGACGTCCTATACTTGCCTCTAGTGTTCAACCCAACCGTTTAACTTTTCTTTCCTTGAAGGCAACTTTTTCCTACCCGATGTTTACATACTTTCAAGATACAATCACTTCTAAGTAATGGTAACACTCCTAGAGACAGGAACAAAAGACTGAACGACAGGTTGCACTCTCTCTCTTTGATAAAATGTGATTCAAAGTAATGCAAAAATTATAAATATGGGCTAAGGCAAAAATGAATAAATAAATAACTAGAGAAGCATTAAAATAAATCTTTCCGTTAACCAAATGTTTGATACCTAACTTCATTAATAGTTACAACATCAAATCACATCAAAGGCAAACCTACATCTGCTTCCTTACTTCGAATGATGAAATCCGGAAAGAAAAAAAAATGATAAAAATATATTAGTTACAAAAAAGTTAGTATAGTATACAATGATCTTCATAACGGAATTACGGCAGGTACCTTTATTTGGAATGTGGGAAAATTATCCAGAACACTTGGCCCTCAGAAATGGATTATATAAAATCTCAATGAAATGGAACCATGCTCTTCTCCAGTAAGGATTTATGTACAGAACTATAGCAATGCAAAGCACATCACATATGTAAGATACGACGAAGCTTACGTAGAAGACCTCCATGTCCATGAAACCTCGCTCCTCACTTTCATCATTAGCAGATGGTAGGATAGGTGATGATCCAGTGCTAGTACAGTTGATTGGCAATGGACGACCACAAAGATAAGGATTTCCCTGGTAGCTATCTTCACCAAAGGTTCCAAACTGACCTTTCTCTTGTATAGTACCTGTTAAATTGTTATGTGCCACGCCGAAGACTTCTAAAGTGTTTAACTCAATCAAACCATTGGGGATCTTCCCAACTCAATCAAACCATTGGGGATCTTCCCACCCAAGTTGTTATAGGAGAGAGCTGAGCTCTCGATTTGATGCTTGAGAATGTTGCTGGAATTGTTCCATTAAGATTGTTGTGGGACAAGTTGAGTACATGGATCTCACTTAACTTTCCAAGGCTGTCCGGAATCCACCATGTAATTTATTAGAAGAGAGATCAATTTCAGACATGTTATTGAGGATGTAACCTTTGTAAGGATAAGAATTCTTCTTTGTCGTAAATGTCACTGTAATTGGCACATTGCGTAATTGAATTGTTATCTCAGAGTTCTTGGTTTTCTCCAGTGATATGCTACCAAAGCACTGCGGGATTTGACCCGAAAAGAAATTAAAAGAAAGGTCTATCATTCTTACTCTGTTCATCTCACAAAACTGGTGAGGGATCGTGCCTTCAAAATGGTTACCACTGAGTAGAAAAAATCTCATGCTTGATAGAGTGCCAATCCATTGAGGGATACTTCCAGTGAACTTATTCTCTCTGAGATCCAATAACTCCAACGAAGAGCTATTATAAAATGCTTCTATCAGCTCACCTTCTAATTGGTTATTGTTCAGATAGACATGACTTATTGTTGATGTATTGAAGCAGGATGGGACCGAACCACATAACTTGTTATGAGATAAATCTAAGAGGAGAAGATCCTTGAGATTGCAAATTTCCACGGGGATAGGACCCTCGAGCTGGTTATTAGACATAGAGACTATCATCGAATATGTCATATTACCCACTGATGTGGGAATTCTGCCAAACAAATGGTTGTTACTAATGTCTAACACCATTAAATTTATGGTAGACAAGCTACTTGAAATGGTGCCTGACAAGTTATTGTTGGACAACTCCAGTTGATCTATATATTTTAAGTCACCAAAACTAAAAGGTATACACCCATCAAACATATTTGTTGACATGTTTAATAAATACAAATTTGGAAAAATAGAAGTTATGTTAATTGGAATACGTCCATTGAACTTATTATTAGATACATCGAAAGCCTGCATGTCATGATTGGTGCTTGTTGGCAACATGAGAGTTCCTGTAAAAGCATTAGCCCTCAGGAAAAGATACGAAAGTCCTATGTTGTTCTCTAACAACCAAGCTGGAAAATTCCCTCCTATGTTGCTCTTTGAGAGACCAATTAATCTCAAGTTAGATTGATAGTAAACGAAGTTGGGTAGTTTTGGATGGCCACTACAATTTGAAATATCAAAATCCTCTAGTTGAAAACTGGGAACCCATTTTTCCAACTCGTTTTCATTTATTATTTCATTGGTTCGCACAAATAAATGCTTTAAGTTTGAATGATTGAAGAATGCCTTGAAAGAAATTGGAACTTGAAAGTGGTTACTTGAAAGGGAGAGATATTCAAGCGATGTGAGTTTGGAAAGTGGAGATGAGGCAATATTTCCGGTGAACTTATTGTAAGAAAGCCTAAAGAATCTAAGAGAGGTCATGTTCGCAACACATGAAGGAAGCATTCCTTCATACTCATTCCAACTCAAATCTAACTTTTGGAGGTTTTTAAGTTCACACCACCCTGCAAAAAAATCACTGCTTCAATAGCCATCAAAAAAATAGAGAGTATAAAGACTTCGCCCATAAAAGGTAAGAAAAATTTTTGTGTCCGAACTTACGTTTTAAGTAAGAAAATTACATTTTTATTGGTGAAATATGGCAATAAGTAGCTTATTTTGAATGTAACTCTTATGAGGGACAAAGCCAGAACTCTATAAAAAATTCTTTTATGCTGGACATAATTTTTACAAATATAAAAATTCATACGCAAAAGCATTGTTTACCAAACAAGTCGTTGAAGTTTACCTCGAACGGGAAGGGTACCATTGAGTCCACAACTAGACAGAGATAAAATCTTGAGGGAACTAAATGCTCCAATATTTTGTAGAAAGTTCCCATCCACATCAGAATAGTCCAAGAACAATTGCTCCAACTGTCTTAAATGTCTCAACTCTTATGCACGAAAACAATGGGATGGGCATTAGAATTGGAGTTCATATTATAATTAGTAATATAATTTTTGTGACTAGAAATTACAACTCTTTCGGGTTACCAAATGTTTCTATATTTCCGTTTATATAATTGAAAATAGAAATAATTGAAGAAACAATTTATTAATGAGCATGCTAAGTCATGGAAAACATTGTTTACCAAACAAGTCGTTGAAGTTTACCTCGAACGGGTAGGTTGCCATTGAGTTTGCAACGAGACAAAGATAAAATCTTGAGAGAACTCAATGCTCCAATACTTTGTAGAAAGTTTCCATCGACTGTAGAATTGTCCAAGAATAGTCCCTCCAGCGATCTTAAATGTCTCAACTCTTATACACAAAAGCAATGGAATGTGCATTAAAATTGGAGTTCATATTATAATTAGTAATATAATTTTTGTGACTAGGAATTACAACTCTTTATGCTTACCAAAAGTTCCAATACTTTCATTTATATAATTGTACCGAAAATAGAAGTGCTCGAGGTATGAGAATGCCCTCAAAGATTGCACCATGTTGCTAATGTTGGAGGAGAAAATTATGCCATCTAATTTTAGCACTCGAAGACGATGCATACTTTTGATGCCTGGAATGGAGAACTATCTAGGGTAATATTCATCAACGTTAATTATTGAGAAATGGAAAATTAAAATGTTTAAGTATCGACGATGAAATGTAATAAACAACAAACTACTAATTTAGTGATATGGAAGGGCTGGGAGCAAAATAACAGGGACGCTTCGGCTCATGCATAATAAGGCACAAGAAAAGGAAATTAATAATGAATAAGGATAAATAATGAATTCAGGTGATACACCATAAATGGTACCCGAGCTTCCAAATTGATTGTAACTTAGGTCGAGCTCCTTCAAATTGATAAAATCATTCAGATCTATCAAAAAGGAAAAGTAAATTTATTAAAAGGTCATAACAATATAGTCTTCTTTTGACATAAAAACAATTTATCACACTTGTAAAAGGAGACTCACTTAGTATCGACAGAATGTCGCCGTTGCTAATATCATCGTTACCATTGAAATCAAGAACTTCCAGCTTGGTTAATCCGAAGAGCCTTTCACTGCCTAGACAATTATTTCTCTTAAAAAATAATATTATGTTTCGTCAAGCTAATAAAAATTGAAATAATACCCAGAGGAAATCAATGTCGATTAAGAGTACCCACACAAGCATAATGGTTGGGAATCAAAAAAATTATATTATACTTCTGTAATAAGGTGTGTTACAATATTAGATGAAAAGAAATTATTAAAAAAAAAAAGGTCTTATTTGTTGTATATGTCTTGTACCAGAAGTTCCCTTAATCTTTTACATTTGAATTAGTACTTGGGTTGATTAGAACTATTAATAAATCAATGACATTAACATATACGTTTGGTAATGCTAACCGTATTAGGAAGGGGAAAATGACAAATGTTTTGCTCTAATAGGAAAGCAACTAGCATAATTTTCGAAGTGGCTATTCTTAGATAATCAAATGATCTATCAAAGAACCAGCAGAATACAATGTATATTGAACTTACTGTTGCTGATTTTTTTTCTCATTAAATAGTTGTATTGAAAGCCCAGATACTTTAGAGAAGAAAGCCGACTAAGAGATGACAAAATTTTGTTATCAAATGAATTCCAACTCAAATTAAGGGCCTCCAAATTTCTCAACTTCGACAGTCTATCAATACCTGCAACAAGGTTCAATATATCTATAAAATCACTTGAAGGAAAAACTTAGACAACCAAAGAACAGAGGAGTAATAAAATTTAATCAACTGGTTGGCTTCTTAAGAAGAGATTTCATCATACCTTCATTCTCAATCCATCCTACTAACTGATTCGAATTCAAAGAGAGATTTCTGAGCTCTCGAAATGGAAGAAACAGAGACGCATTAAAATACCAATCTCCTAATGCCCTCTCCCTGATGTTAAAAAGATTAAGCTGGATTACTCTTTTAGTTGTGTTGCTGCATTCAACCGATTCCCATCGACAACAATCAGTTGCAGTCTCATTAACCACCCATGAAGACAGCGATTCTCCATCTGGGAAGTTTATATTTTCTCTAAGGTGCAAAAGAGCAACATTTTCTTCCTCCCAGCACCCTAAACAATACCATCCATTTAGCAATGAAAGCACCATCATCACTAGCATTGCCACTAACTTAGTTCCCATCTTTCTTAAATACTAAACCACGAATTCTTACTTTTCTGGATAAACAAGGCTGCAAACTCTCCAATTTATAGCAGTAAGTGGATTTGCCGTGTTAGGTGGTTCATTTTTAATTATAGACTTTTCCTCGAAGTTGTAAAATTCTTAGCACTTTCTTATTGTTTAATTGATTAATTGGAAATTGCCCATACTCGGTTGATTGATTGAGGATCAAACGAACAAAGAAATTTCTCCATTCTGTCTTTATCATATATTTTCTATCTACTAGTTTGGCAGACCCAACTACCAATTATCTCATTTATTAGGTATGGATTGAGATAAAAAAAAAAAAAAAAAAATAGAGAGAGAGAGAGTGTGTGTGTGGTCGGAGTCAAATGTCGGTTTAATTGAAGTTAATTTTTAAGCTTAGCCAATAAATGAAAAGAAGACACAGGAAATGTGAACGAATCGAATAATGGGGAAATAACAAACCAGATTCAAAGTTGGTGAAGCATTATTTAATTTTTTAATTTTTGCAAGTAAAAAAAAATACACAAATTTATAACCGCTAACGTAGAGTGACAGGCATTTTTATCCTATCCACTGTGGGCATCTATAACTTCATATCTATTGCTATAACTAAACGCATTTTTATTTTTTCCCCCTTTCATTTTTAGTACCTTTAACGTAAATGATATTTAAATTCCTGGTTGTACTTTTTTTATTTTTAATGTTTACAATCAAATCATTAATGGATTGACAGTTGGTAGAAGAAGACAAATATCTTGCACTCCAAAAACATTTTCTCAGTAATGCAGTGCCCCATGGACCACGTTCCGCAAAGTGGTGGAAATTGACGAAATTTCTACAATTTGCCCCACCTTAAGGTTGGGGTTCAACCTATAAATGTCTATATTACACGAGAAGACATATCTATTTCGTGAAATATGGTTCATTATTTCTCTTTCATATTTTGTCGTTGAAGGATATAAACAAGATTTTAATTCGACTCAAAATCTGTCATTTATTTATTCATCACTAATGCTCCGTGAAGGAACCTTATTGTAACGCCCGACCCTCTGGTACAAAATTGTCACTCAAATAATTGTATCTTAATTTTAGACTTAGAAATTATTTAAAATAATAATTTAATTTAAGAATTTAAGCAAAAAAATTCTTTAAGAACTATATATATATATATATATATATATATATTTTAAATAACTACCAATGAATTTTCCATTAAAATCTACTTTTAGATAGTAACATAATATTAACATAATTTCAAAGGCGTATATTAAAGAAGAAAAGAGTTGAGCAAATCCATGTATATGCCTATTTTATTACGTGAATAATGGCAAGTACATATCTACCAAATAAATAAAAGGTATGATAGTTTTCCATGTAGAAGTAAGAAAGTAAGTAATCTGTTTTGATTTCCCATTTTCATACAGTAAGTTTTAAAATAAACTCGTTTGCATAGTTATTAATGTCAAAATTTCATAAAATTTTAAGGAAAAGTATGGAACATCTTATAATATGACATAGCCAAAATTAGCTTCCGTCTGCATCATATGAGATATTAAAATATTTTTCAAAATCTAGCAGCGACCTGGTTGAAAGGCAAATCGGTGCAGTTCACTTAAAATAACATATAAAATTTCGCAGACATCAAAACCACATGATTTCCAATTTATTCAGTAGTTAATCCATGAAACTATCAAATCCAATTGGTTTCATCCAGAAATTCTGAGTATTGGTTGAGTTATGAATTTTTTAAGTCAAGGCAAAAGCTGAAAAATAGCAACGCTAGCCAGTGCAGTTTACCTTAAGTGACATATAAAATCCTACCGACATCGGATTGCCACGATTCCGAGTTTATTCAGTAGCTAACCTACGTTGTTATCCAGCATCATTGGTTTGTCTAAAAATTTCAAGTAATGAGCGAGTTATAAATTTTTAAAGTCAAGATAGAAACTGAAATATTTAAAAAAGGCAACAATACTTTAATTTGCTAACACTTTTTTTCCCCTTTCTTTTTGTAAATAGTGTTTTGCAAAATAACTTTTATAACACATCTACTTTTAAACTAAATAATTCATGAAGAAATATTCTTAAAATAGTTCCACATATAACGTCCATAGAAATCCATATAAAAAGAAACAAACGTAAACATTTATGATCGAATTAAAATTATTAAATCACAAGCTTCGTCCATAGCATGTTGCATCATCCTATACCATCATCGACGCCCTAAAGTGATATATTTAACCTGTAGGAAGGGAGTTAACTCATGAGTTTGAAACTCAATAGATATCATCGATGCATTTCGTTTTCAAATTAGAAATTTCGAACTATAAATTCATATCGTCACACATAATTGGATTTACGGCAAAATCCAATTAATATAGCATTATCATAACACGTAGAGCCGAAAAATGATCATTCAAACTGTTGTAGTACCAAAGCACCGTACCCGGAGGTGCCATTTCATTCAAATATTTATCGAAAAATCATAATTTGAAAACGAAATAAACGCATGCACCTCTACCTACCTTGAATTTTTTTGGATATAAAAGAACAAAATGTGTAGAAAGCCTTTTTATTTTTTTTTACCCTTGTTATTTCTTTAAGCTGACTTGACATGAAATATTTTTTTCTTAGAGAAAATAAGAGTAAATTCGGACTTGAGGGGCGTAGCGAAAAAATGTCATTTCTCTTCTTGTAATCTTCCTTTTTAATGAAAAACTAAATGAGGAAATAGTATTATCATTAAATTTTCTTAAATTTGGTCTTTAACTAAGAATTTGAAGAGCTTCTAAGCCATAAAAAAAAATTCATATAAAATGTTTTATGAAAATATCTACATGGTGATTCGAATCTGGGTTGCCCATATGAAATACTATGTAGAAGACCATTGAGGCAACCCAATTATTCATTAAATCTTTGTAATCAAATTTATTTAAACTTAATCTCGTAAATTGTTGGGCTTTTAATTAACTTATGGTTTGGGCTTTTATAATCTTAAATGGGTTGAGCTTCCATAGCTCGTTTCTTAAATGGGCTAAGCTCTTGTTGCTAGATCATCACAAAATAATAGCCTAATTTCATTTTATTTCTTGGGCTTCTACATCCCTTACACCTTACAAAAAATTTCGTCCTCAAAATTTACCTTATAGATTGACAAAGAGTGTCGGATATTTGTCTTTGACTTCTTCTCTTTTCCAAGCAGCTTCTTCTACTCCATGATTATTCCATGCACCTTGACCAGTTGAATCTCCTTGTTCCGTAATTTATGTACCTTTCGATCCAGCATTTTAACCGGTAATTCCTCATAAGATAAATCTTTCTATATTTCCAGAGATTGATAATTGATCACGTGATCAGGATCATGCATATACTTTTTGATCAATGATATATGAAACACATTGTGAACTGCTGATAGTTTAGGCGGCAAAGCTAATCGATAAGCTACATTTCTGACCCTGTCAAGTATTTCAAAAGGTCCGCTACAATGAGGTCGTAGTTTGTCTTTCTTGCTAAACCTAAGTACACCCTTTACTGGTGCCATTTTTAGAAAAACCTTCTCCCTAATTTCGAATTCCAAATCTTTTCTTTTGGTACCAGCATAGCTCTTTGTCTATCTTGTGCAACCTTTATCCTGGTATGGATCTTATCATTGACTTCCACTATCCTTTCAATGATCTCTGGTTCCAAATTCTCTAATCTCTGACTTCATGCCAATGAACAAGCGATCTGTACCTTTTACCATATAGAGCTTCATACGTGCCATTCCAATAGTTTTCTGGAAACTATTATTGTATGCAAATTCTACCAAAGGTAGATATGTTTCCCAACTACCTCCTAGATCCAGAACATAAGTTCTTAGCATATCTTCCAAAGTTTAAATGGTTCTTTTAGATTGACCATCAGATTGAGGGTGATACGCCGTGCTGAAATGCAATTTCGTTCTCATAGCTTCTTGTAAGATTTTCCAAAACTTTGACGTAAATCTCAGATCTCTACCGGACATAATAGATATAGGGACACCATGCAATCTTATAATCTCTCTAATTTACAACTGCGCTAACTGATCTAAACTGAATGTCATTTTTTTGGAATAAAATTAGCGAACTTTGTTAGACGATCTATTATTACCCATATAGTATTGTGTCCTTTTGTTGACTTCGAAAGTCCAACCATAAAGTCCATTGTGATATTCTTTCACTTCTATTTAGGTATGTCCAATAGATTTAACAACCCTGTAGGCCTTTGATGTTTCTGCTTTAACTTGTTGACATACTATGCATTTTGCCACAAATAACCCTATACTTCTTTTCATATTCCTCCACCAAAATTTATCTTGAAGGTCTCGATACATTTTCGTTCTATCAGGATGTACGGTATATGGGGTAAAATGAGCCTCTTCCAATATCTTCTTCCTCAAAACTTCATCCTTAGGTACGCAAATTCGTCCTTTAAACATCAGTGCCTTATCCGAACTATTCCAAAATCCTTTCTCTTATCAGTACAAATCTCATCCTTGATTTTCTGCAAGAATGAGTCTTTACACTGTGCTTCTATAATTCGATCTCTAAAAGTAGGTCGAACCATTAGAGTTGCTAAACGAGCGTGAATTGTTCTTGTGTGGTAATTCCTTCGATTCACAAAATTTTCAAGTCTTTGATTAACTCCATCTGAGTGATAGGTAATGATGTTAGATGTCCCATTGACTTCCTACTTAGAGCATCGACAACA